GAGGAGGGACGGTTACTGCCTATAAACTTCATTACACACCCATCCTCGCTGATACGCCTCATCCTGTAAGTCATCTTTATGCATTAAAGGAGGAATTTTAATCTAATCCCTGTCTATGGTGTTTCTATAGTGCTGTCATTACCGCAGAAACCTCATCGCACTGCTTTGCACTTAGAAAGGATCAGAAAACTCATTCAATCAAAACTTACTTCTAGATATTCTTAATATTTTTCATTTAACATTCCAAAACTGAAGCAACAGAGTAAACTGAGTTTTTGTTCACATTACCAGGTTGAAGTGGACCAAATCCGATTTTTTGCCCTAATGTTACTCAGATCTGATGTTTTCAGGGCTGTGTGGAAGCACAAATATCTGATCTTTACAAATCCGACCTGAGCCACTTTCATATGTGGTCCTAGATCGGATACGTATCCGATTCGTGGACACACGACCTTAATCTGAACACTCAAGCACAATTCATGTGCTTTTTCTCGACTGCGCGTGCTTATTGGTGGGATCTAGATATACAAGGTAGATTCAGGTAATTTGGGATGATTTAAGATGCTATGTTAATTAATTAGAACATAATTTTAATTACCATTTAAATAACAATTAATTAAACACAATAACATAATGGCTTTGCGATTCATGACCTGTCTGTCATGTTACCTAAACCACTATCCCTGTGTGTGTATGTGTGTGTGTGTTTATTACATATGTTTGGATAAATAAAATCATACATACATATATACACTATGCAAACACAAAAACACACAGTGTGGTTTAGGTAATATGACATAAAGACCCAAAGCAGGCACCATATCATATATTTGTATACTTTGGTACACTGAAATTAATACTTGGAAGTCAAGGTGGTGATTTTTTCTGAGTAATTTTGCAATTTTGGACCATTTCTGTGTTAAAATTATGACGAACGGACCAACAATATAAAGGAGAAGTTTTCAAATTATAAAAAAAGTAAAACAAAATGGAGATGGTTTTTGCATGACAGCGACAATGTGTGTTGATTAAGGTGGCCTCAACACAGAAAATACAAATGGACTTAATGTGGAAAAACAGCATTAATACTGTACGTGTTTTTGTACATTTTAAAAACGTGCCGAGTTGGTGTGAAAAGTTCTTAGACTCATCACTCAATTTGGCTACTTACTGACACTAACTCCTTGTGGCAACCAGCTCAAACATGACCCATAGTGTATAAAACAATGGCCTACAGGTTTCCTGAAGACAAATTTCTACAGATTTGCAGTATTAAGAAAATATTTAATTGAAAAATTCATAAAGGATTATACAAAAACGTTTACTGATGGAATTCAGTAATGGCCCTTTGGCTCCTATGGGAAGTGGGTTTCAAGTCAGTGAATTTTCTGTTCTAACTGTGGGGAAATGTGTTGAAGCTACTGCCTGAGGTCAGTGACAGTGCGCTACAGGTGCAGCCAAAGGAGATTAGACTAAAAGAATAACAAGATACTGGACGAAACATCACAGCTCAGCACTGCAGTCATTTTCACATGCGTTAATTTTCACAGTCATAACAATGTGAACTGGCCATGTGGGGTTGAGGCAAATAAATGTAAATAAAAGGAAGCAGTAAGTGAGTCGCTGAGACATCATGGGACTCATGAAAACAAAAAAATTCATTCATCATTAATGTGGTGCTCTTCCATGTTTGGAGGGCAGCGCTGAGTAATGTTTGTGTATTTGTTAGTTAGTTCTAGCTTGTTTAGCATGTATGCTAGCAGAGCTTTTTTGCAATGCTCACTTTTTTGTTTTTCAGATATCTGAAATCTTTATTTGTGATTACAATGTTGATTTGTTTATGCAGAAATATGAGCTTGTTATTATTGTAACAATGTTAAACGTCACTCAAAGATGGATAGGACTGTTTTAATTTTTCCACAGTGGATGATTTCTGTCATTCTTTTTTTTTTTACAGAGGGGATGGCATCCCTGTGCCCCACCCTTAAATTGAGCCCTACACACTCAAAAATACGGTTCTTCAATTATCTTTATTAAAAACAATGGTTCTATTTAGAACCTTGAGTTCTACGTAGAACCATTCCATGCTTAAATGGTCCTTCGCTTGGTGAAAATGTTGTTCAGATTGATGGAGAGTGTGCTGTATATGGTTCTATAGCACCAAAAAAAAAAAAGAAAAACCCTTTTGGTGCTATAGAACCATACACAACACATTCTCCATCAATCTGAAGAATGTTTTCACCAGGCAAAGAACTGTTTAATGATTAAATGGTTCTATGTAGGACTCATGGTTCTGACTGGGTACATTTCCCTAGAATGGAGTATTTCGCACCAAACCACTCTGAATGACTTTGTTTACAACTTAACGACTGGATTATGCGGCAATTTGGAAAAGTTGGTGAAATTTCCCTTTAAGGCAACCATGTGCAGGACATAGTGTCAATACTGTAATTCCAGTATGGACACATTTCACCATGCAAAGAACCATTTAATGGTTAAATGGTTCTATGTAGGACTCATGGTTCTAAATAGAACCATTGCTTTTACTAAAGAACCCTTAAAGAACCATCTTTAAGCATCTAGTTAGAGTTAGTCCGTTATAGTCAAAACTGCAGTACAAACCTAACAATAATCATCCCATTTAAAATGTATTAAATCAAATAACTATACATTTAGGAGCTTTTTACACAAAGTCACAAAGTAAACAGCTATACTGCAACAGGGTCTGAATATTATAGTCTGAATAATAAAAGGTGCTGGGACTAATTTCATATTAAATTGTCTTTGATTTCTTCTTTTATAAAGAAATATAAGAGGTTCAATAAACAGCCTATCAAAGTAATACCTGTTGTCAAATGCCTTTTATGTTTCACTGCATTTTAACAATGCCACTCCCTCCCTATCAGGAACTGGTCCACAGTAGCGATGGTATAAAGGCGATGCTGATGTCATCACGCACCCAGTCTACTATCTTTAGTCTTTCAGAGGAAGTTCTGGCGTTCACAGATAGACTCCATGGAGAGACAAGTTGTTTGAAATGTGCACAGACACAATTGCTCGCCTCTGGCTGAAAACAAAGGCTTAAAACAAATGAAACGTTCAGGGTTACAGAACTGAATGAAGGACAAAGTCACAAACACAAAATGAACTTTCCAAAACTGCAGATGCCTTAAAGGGGAATTACACCCGTTTTAAAATTATTGCACAGTTCAGTGTTTGAGATGTAAACAGAGTGATTCAGAGTGGTTTGGTGTGAAATGGTTCAGATTTCTTTACAGTGGTGGTGACAGAAACCAGGGGTCGCCATGTCTACAACACAAATAGACATTTTATTTACTATCCAAAACCACCAGTGCCTCCAAATGCCTTGCATGTACCTCTCAGTCATAAATATACTTTTATGTATTTTTAGTCCAAAACCTTCTCAAAACTATCATAAAACAATGTCTCAGAAATCAGGAAGTGTATTTATAACCATTTCATGCAAAAACTTTCTGTGAGGGAGCTTTTAGAGGGGGACGTCTGGTTCCTATTACCACCACTGTGAACAATTCTGACTCGGTAAGTTTCTCTATAAGAGAGCATTTCATACCAAACCACTCTGAATGACTCTGTTTACATGTTAATGACTGAATTATGCAGCAATTTTGAAAAGTCGGTGGAATTCCCTTTTAAGGCAACCATGTGCATGACGTAGTGTCCATACTGGAATACCATGATATTGCTTTTCAATTTTAGTGATATTATTCACATTATATCTGAGAGATAAACAGCATTATGTCCATAACAGCTAAGCGGTTTGTTTTAGTTGTTTTTTGTTTTATCGCAATATTCTGAAAGGAGGCACACCTAGTGAACTATAAGAGAAATATAAATATTTTACAACATATTGCTAAAGCTGAGCAATATGGCAATATTTACCATTATTGTGATAAATTACTTTACAATATGCTTTTCTGAGCATATCATGAATATTGTCAGTACTTAAAAATCACTTTCCAACTGCATGTTTGATTAAATAAAGAGCAGAATTTGCTCTCTAGGTGCTTTTAAACTGGTATTAGTGCAGCACAGTGTGTGAAATCATTTTGATAGTATTTTAAAATGTGGCACTACTTTGTCTGTTGTAACTTATCTGATGTCAGAAAAATAAAGATCGTTACACATCATGCACGTTAAAAAATTCCCCAAAGTATCATATTACATTTTGCCATATTGCCCACCTCCCCCAGAGTAAGTTATTGGTAGCATAAAAACGTAAAAGCCTGCAGTTTCATATGATACATTTATTTTTAATACATTTTTTGTTTCATAAATCATGTGTTTTCTGTTAAAGGCCCAGCAAACCTGTCATCTTAAACATTGAGAACATTTTTACTCATATTTCATGTCTTTTTTTACAGGGTTTTATGTGGGATATCATGGTACCGCGGTATATTCAGAAAATATCGCAATGTTGAATCTGATGAATGTCGTCCAGCAATGCATATAGCATAGCTGACAATCACAGTGCTCTGCTACAAAGAGAGGTAAACAAACGAGTGTCCAGGCTCCAGAAGTCGTCTAGTATGTCCGACTACTCATCTTGCTTTGTAGGATTTACCCAAAAAGAGCAGAAAGGCAGATGTCTGAAACCTTTCGTGTGATTCATGAGGGCCACGTTTGACTCAAACGGCGTGCAAAGAAACGGAGAAACCGCGTTTAGGTAGCTATAGAAATAACAGACATGAATCAATATTAGTGATTATTTTCAGTCTCCTCGCCTCTATTGTGATATAAAAACGTTTCCCCTGTGCAGTAGTGACAGTGCAACGCCAGACGAAGCCAAATGTGTCTTCTTGTTCGAATTCGCCGTTCCACCTTAAATGGCGCAGCAATTCCATTCTCAGCCTCAGGCGCCAGAATGGAATTGCTGCGCCATTTAAGGTGGAACGGCGAAATCGAACAAGAAGACAATTTCAGCCTGTGATAACTGTGATATGAAATGCTAGTGCGCTCACCGTAACGGCGTCAACGACTCGATTATCAGCCCAAAGCAGCCGGTAAAATCTCCACGAGGTCAAAATCAGCGATAAATCCCATTCACCGAATCCGAGCCGTGTTGTTGTAGGAGGTCATGACGGGGAATGCCGTGGGGAGCGGAGGGCACAGCTCAGATTGCGGCTGCAGAATCCGCACAGAATCAGAAGGAGAGACTTCCATGCGCGTCTTTACGCACAGCGACAGCGGCCGGAGGAGGACGGAGAGCCGGCGAGCGGACCGAACTGAGCCGCTAGGCGGAAAAACACGCTCACCGCACTGCAACCAGACCGATATGGTGAAGGGGCTTTCGGCCGAAAACACGAACGCTCTGCATTGCTGACGAAACGAGCAGGCACGAGTGTGATAGGAGGGGAACTGCGCTTTCGCCGTAAGCGGAGAGCGCTGTGAATGGGACTGAGCGCAGCGTCTAGCGGTGAGGGCCTTCCATTCCGGAGCGATGGTGCCTACGCCCTACTCCCTATCCCCTAGATGCCCCGCCCTCAGTGAGTGCGCTTTCATCCATCAATGGGCCTTAAAGGGCTGAACGATTTGGGAAAAATATCTAATCCCGATTTTTCTGCTTTACGGAGCCCTGCTGGTGACTTAATAATAAAAATAACGTGTTGGCATGCTGTATTAATGCGTGGCATTAACAAGATAATTAAGTCGTGGGAATGAGATCATGCCTTATTAAGCTGTGTTAAAGCCTTAATTATCTTATTCAGACGCTTTACTAAGTCGTGGCCACGCATTAGGATCTCGTTCCCACGCCTTATTAAGTTGTGGCCACGCATTATTTTTATTTATATACGGTATGTCGACAGCAGGGCTCTGTACCGATTGATTTAAATTGCGATTATTTTCTGTAAAAAAAAAAAAAAGTCCAGGCCTGTTATTTTGGCCAAGAATACTAGAGCATCCACTTTTTCTGGCTTGAGACTTGAACACTGAACATGCCAGACTGCCAGTTGTGGTTGTGATTTCACAGCGTATAGATGTTTGGTTGCTTCTCATTGGTCAAACTCATCTACAGGCAGTTTACAAACTCTGATATTAGGTTAATTTTCCCCAATTAAGACAACATTGTCAATAATTGCAATTTCGATATAAAAACGATTAAGCTTTAAGCCCTAGCCTCATTCACCAACCCACTTACACAGTTTGGCACATGGGAGCCCCCGAAAAAAATCCTGCTTGGGGCCTCCAAAATGCCAGAGACTGCCTTGCCTGCATGGTGTATGTAAAGCTTAGCCCTTCTGGTTAAGCTAACGTTAGCTTCTAGCGAATGTGTTTGAATATGGAGCAAAGCTTAGGCTAACAGCCTCCCACACAAAAAAACAGGTTTATTTGCTCAGATTTGAGTCTTTGTTCTTCAAACTTGCATCAGTGAGGCTTCAATGAGCCAGAATTAACCTGAGCTGTGGTGCTATGCTACTTCGGCTACCTGCTACTAAAACAGCATCAGGTGTCGGCTCATTCATGATGTACAAAACTTAGCTGCTATATAGTGCCCACAAATTGCTTTTTTCAGAGATACTGAGAAACTCTGTGTTTTTAATGGAAAATTTTGGTACAATTTGATACAAATATCAATAAGGAGTTTAACAATTTAAACACATTTTGAGTGCAGGGAGTCTTTAAGTATCATGAACTACGCTTTGTCATTTTAAATAACACTAACAAATTTGCATTGGATTTTATTGTAGACTGTAAAAGCAGCACATAGTGACAGAAATTGCCAGTAAATGATTAACCCAGACAGCAAGTAAGACTGCACAATATTTTTAATAAAATCATTAATTGCAGTTTACAGGTAATGACATGATCACATATAAAAGTTATGCCAAAGTTTTTTAAATTTGTATGCAATGGCTAGCTTTATAGATCACATGTATACAAAGTTCATGCACTGAGTTAACCACTTTACATTAGTCATTTCGTTTATTGCAATTTTACTTTTCACATTATTTGTGTTGTATATTTTGCATATTATTTTTTGTCTCAGTCTGAATGTACTGTCGTGAGTATGCATCCTGGACCAAACTTATTATATGAAAGTAAGACAATCATAAAATATTTATATTACATATGTATGTATTTAGTACTGTGCAAAAGTGAGAAACCACCCTTCACGTATTTAATTTCCAATCAAAATGGCCGTAAAAGTTCTGACAAGATTAATTGAGCCTTTACTGAGAAAAGGAAATAAACAAAGAGGAATATTTGCAACTCTGAAACTGCAAATCTGACATGTGGAGTGAGGTTTTACCAACTGATAAGTCACAATTTATGATTGGAATGACAACGTCTGCTGTACAAAGCGTTGTATAAATAAACTTTGACTTAACTTGAGAAGCCGAAAGTGCTAAACCAGCTTCTAAGACTGAACTTTGGAGGTGTGTCTGCAGATTTCTTTGAGAAACTGAAAGTGAGTCTCCTGAAAAGAATGGAAGCTGTAATAAACGCAAAGAGTGACACTCTGAACCCTCATACACCTGATATTAGATTTACTTTATTTAGTTGTTGTTCTGTTAAATGTTTTCTGTTTTTTTCTTGGCTTTGAAAAATGAATAACTTGTACTTAAAATTTATTCTAACTTGTTCTTGGAAATTAAAATATTGAAGGGTCTGACTTTTGCACATTATTGTATGTGTGTTGTAAAAAAAGATATATTGTAACCTTCCTTTTTTTCCCAATTGTATTTGAAAATTATTTACATTGATGATCACTGATTTCATTGATCGCTGGTTCGTCCCACAGGTCCATTCAAATCCTGATGAAACATTTATAGAATAGTTTGCAATCTAAACAAAACAAAATTGTCAAAATTTGTGAAAAACTGACAAGACATTTCTTTCTTTCCCCAAACCTTTACATCAACCCCTTTACTGTGTGTCTGTATTTTTTAATATCCACACAGTCATAACATTGAAATGACTCAAAGGAAATGACATCATTTGAGCTGATAAAGCACATTGTGGAATGTAAAATGAGGTATTTATCTATCTTTCATTGCTTTCCTCATAATGGAGAGGGATGTCAGGTTTGCCATGTCAACCTTGTGGCTTTAAAGGGCCCATACCCTACATTTTTGTGTAGTCCCCTTATAACAGTTGTGTAGCTTTATGTACCAAAACCAGTCATAATTCATTTTTACATGACCATTTTCCAGCCTCTCTTTATCCCTTAGACTGATGAAACAGTTATTAATTTCAGCATTATTAAACTCTTTCGAGGGATAATGGACCTCAACAGTTTCCTCAACATTGGACGATGATGTTCATCAGTGATAAGTGTAGTATCGGTGTACTGGACTTATTACAGCTACCCACTTTATTGTCAAATTTGCAAGAATTTGTTATCAAAATGGTGAATTGTGTCCTTCATAGAGCCAAAATAATGTTGAGGGTAATGTTGAGATTTTTTTCATTAAATGTATTGACAGAAGAATTACATAAAAAAAACTAACCTAAACTAACTGCCAACCTGTAACAGAAAGGAACAGTGTGAATTTAATGAAAATTACTGCATCTGCTTTACTGAGATTTATTCCAAGTGTATTCTAATTGTATTCTGAATTTGTTCATTTTTTATGCACTGTAATGGAATACGTTACTGAATACATCTACAACAGTGTACACAGTGTTCAGCCATCACTACGTTATGTATTTTGCCCAACACTGAACATATGCCAATAAGCTCTGTTCTAATTGGCTGCTCTGCATTCAAAAAGCAGTTTGGACTTAAACAGTCCTTATAACTCCAGCCTGAAAAGGCAGATATACATAAATGCATTGGATATATTGTGACATCACAGAGAATGAATGCAAAGCAGGCTGTTTTTACACTTTTGTTTTCATATTCAGTCCTGTACAAAAGTTTGGGCGCCCCTGGTCAAATAAATTAAGCGAGTATGTGTTCCCTGTAGAGGATGTGTTCACTTATTGTCACTTAAAAATTTTATTTGACTAGGGGTGCAAAAACCTTTGCATATGACTCTATGAACTGTATGGACTCAGGAGTTTTGAACCATTAACAGTGTTTGCTCTACTATATCAAACTCATGTAAAATAGCACAGTTTTCCAGGATATGGGCCCTTTAATCTAGCATAGAGGAAGTATTTATTCCAGATAAACATTCACAGATAAAACTGAAACAGATGGGGACCATCAACACGAGTGAAATAAAGACTAACACCCAAACCAAACTGTCCACCTTTCATAGAAGGAGCCGTTTAAAACTGTGCAGACTACTCTGTGGATAGCACGTTCAAGATTCACTACTACTGCAACTGGTTTCTAATTCCCTTTAGGATCCATCTGATTGGCTGGTGCTGTTTTCTTCCACATTACTTGCCTTCACTGTAGACTCCCCTTGGGCGGGGCTGTTCCCATGTTGACCTGTTCCTTGCACGGACGCGACATCTTGTGGCAAATGGCGCATGACAAGGTTAACAAGTTTGCTGCGGAAGCTCCTGCTTAAGAAGCTGTAGAGAACGGGGTTGGCCAAACAGTGAAGCATAGCAGTCGCCCTGACCACCGCATAGGCGAAGAAAAGCTGCTCAAGCATGTTGCAGTCAAATAAGGTGGGCTTCAGAGTGTCCACCATCATGAGCATCATTATCACATGGTAAGGCAGCCAGCACACCATAAACACAAGCGAGTACACGTGCAGCAGCCAAACGTCACTCGCGTTACGTGCCTGTACTTCAGGGCATGCCCGCACCGCGCGAGCCGCTAGCACGTTGAAGGTAGCTACAATAGCTGCTGGCCCTACAAACTGTATTAAAGACTGGATGATAATGATGGTGGTGAACCATGCTGTGAATGCATGCACTGGCATCAAATAACAGCCCGGTTCCTGCAAGTGAAGAATGCGCACATGGGCCGTCTCTAGTGATGCTAAAAGCAGCGCTAACATCCAGAGGCCCACGCAGATCATGTTCCTCTTGCGCCTGTCCGGCATACCTGGGCCTTGGGTCTTGGGTGCTGAGCCTCGTGTCACCACCAGGTAGCGCTCTACAGACATGTAGGCCAGGAAGAAGCAGCTAGCATAGATGCTAAGCACGACAACCAGGTTGGAGAAGCGGCAGAGGAAGTCTCCCCACAACCAGACATGGTCCAGGACCACCTCGAGCATGTAGATGGGCAACATGAGCATTATTATGGTGTCGGCCAGGCCCATGTTGAGCAGGCAGAAGAGAACGGTGTTGCGCGAGTGTCGGCGGTGCCAGTTCACCCACACCACCGTCATGTTCATCACCAGGCCCGCCATGAACGTGATCAGGTGGAGGAGGAAGAGGCCGATGCGCCGGGAGTTGTAGTCCACCTTGATGTTGCACAGGTAGACTTCCGTCTCATTGTCGTAGTAGTCCATCTATTCAGAGAGAAAGGGAAAATTTGCAAAATGGTAAAGGAATAGGTCAAGCAAACATGCTAACATGGCTAACAATGATTGACACATCTCTCACCTTGCTAGAAAAAACAGCATAGACCAGCATGACTGATCACCAGCAAAACCAGCACATGTTGTGTTTTCGATTTTGCTGTGCTGGTCAACCAGCGTGACCATACTTGGTGACCAGCTATCATGCTAGTCTGTGCTGTTTTTTTCAACAGTGCAGTAAGTGCACTCAGTTTCTCAGTGCACCACAAGTCATAGTAGATGAAAGAAAGAAAGGCAGTCAGTCTTTTAGATCAACTGAAAAATGCTATTGGTCTGTTATCTCAGCTAATGTTACTAGCCTTATTTGTCTTCTCCTCTTCACAAAATGTGATAAATGATTTTGAATGTTTTATTTCGTTAAATCTATATAAGTGTAAAAATGGCCTGGGAAATAAACTGTATGCTACACCATTCTACACGGCACAACGTGTCCGGTGTGCAAGTACCTTCAAACTAAGAGATGGTGGAAAGGTGTTACTGAGGAACATATAAGGTGCATTTCAATTGCCAAGTGTACTACACTGGGTATTCAGACATTAAGGGTGATTCCACACCACAGGGAGTGAAAAAGTTCCGTTGGAAGGGAGTGAACAATGGTTTATCACTTCACAGGAAGTTACAGGAAAGTTTACCCATGAGTCATTACATGTCTTTCAAAGATGTGTGTTCAATGATGATGCTTCAGGATGTTCTGAATGAGGGTATTTATTAACTACAATTCCCCCAACGAAAATCCAGTGTTCAAGTGCGTAGGGAATATAACAGAACTGCTTATTGGAAAGGAATGCGGCTATAATGCTTGATGTACACTGTCTGGAGGTGGAGCTGTTTTTATTGCATTCCTGAAGCTGAAAAAAAGGTTTGGGATTAAACTCTGTGGAAGACCAAACCCACGGCTCAGCATCCAAACTACTATCTATAATAGTATATCTAATAATATACATACGTAAAATGATGGTTCTCCAAAGGTTCTAGAAGAATATATATATAGACCCTTTTTAAAAATGCTCTATATAGCACCAAAAAGGGCTCTTATTTTATTACCAGCTTGACATTGTAACAACAGAGAAACCCTTTTTGGTGATATATACAACCATCTACAGCACATTCTCCATCAATATGAAGAACGCGTTCATGATGCAAAGAACGCTTCAATCATACAAAGCGTTCTTTAATTGTTCATGGTTCTATATAGAACCATTTTCTTTACTAAAGAACCTTTGAAGAACCCTTTTTAACAGTGTACCAGACAGAATTATACAGGTTCTAAGGTAAGATAACCTTTATCTGGGTTGCTGTATTTGCTAAAAATCACATCTAATGATAAATAACAGTACAGAACAATGTCAAGATCAGTTAGCTAACTAGCTTATATTTCTGATTAAAATATTAATGTTAAGCTATTAATGCACTCATACACGTACCATTCCTTGCATTGTTTCATTAAAGTTTGCTGGAAATTCTCACGACAAACCCTCCTCAGAATCTGTCTGACTAGCTTACAGTGTTAGCTTTAGCATTAGCTTATCTGAAGGAGTAGGTTGCTGTGGCTAAAACCTCCTTTAGACATAAAAAATGCTGCTTTAATGTCAAGTGGCTAAACTATTTCCCTGGTTTGATTAATACACACATAGTTTCCAAAATCCATTTTTTCGTTCAGTTTAAATTGGCCTACATGCCCATTTTGTTGATTCTCAAACATGCTCTGCACTGAGCAGCTTGCAAAACCAGTTAATTTTTGGATAAAATATGTCTTAAATGTTCTGCTCTGTGTCTTTCTAAACTTTCCTTTGTGATGCTATCCTGTTAGTACTATAAGTCTTAGTCAGGTTTTTTGGTAAAGTGGCCAGATTTCTGAAATGAAAACTGGGGACATTTCCAGTTTGGCGGTCAATATATCATTAAAATATCCAATGTTTTCATCTATGAAATAAAAAGGGAGATAATTCCAGTTGAGCTAATTTATTTTGACTATGGTAACTGTTGTACCGTAATAAATTATAGTGAAGGCCAGCTGATAATAAAAGGATGAGGCAGGGATACTGTTACCACAGAAGATTCAGTGGTTGTATGAGCCCATAATTCACATTTATATCAAATATTTTGGCAGTAAAAAGAGACCAGTGGCTACAGAAAAAAACCCTGTGGCTGTAGCCCAATAGCCAGACAATAAACACCCTGGGCAGCTCCAGTTCTGGACAGTTCTGGACAGACAGAGATGGCTTCTGTCAATATATGTCATATATGGAGGATGAAAAAGTGACACAGTTAAAAAAAACATTATGCACTATTTGTAGATGACATGGCTACATTCAAGTAGACTGTTTGCCTGTATAAATCACTGATCACCTGGTAGTACGATTCAAGTCCCGTAACTCCACTCCTGCTTTAACCCCTGGGTCACCTTGTGTGATGAAAAGACATTTGTGGTGATGTTGTGGACTCAGCTGACACTTGTTAGCTTCTGGTCAAGTTTTACACAGCAGTATTCTCTAAAACAAGGCTAGCAAGTGGCAGAAGTGGTTAGTAGATAGCAGCAGCAGCCCCCTCTGCTGGCCACATCAAACACAACGTGAGGCCTGTCTGCTGCAGGTCTTTCTTAGAACTTTCTAGTGTGTTTTGAATTCACAGTTAACAACAGGGACAACAGCTTTAGCCGTTGACAGGCCACCAAAAACGGGGACTGTCCCCAGAAAACAGGGGTGTCTGGTCATCCTATGTTGCGGATGCTACCAGATAGCCTGAGCTGAAAGTTTGACGGACATAGCAACAGTAACTAAGGGAGGCTGGACTTTCTCTGAATTTTGTCTACAGTCATTTAGCAAGAGATTATTTGTATAACTGGCAGCTGTTTGCTTTAATTGATTGTTCGTTGATTTTTTGACTGAATAGATATCTGAGAAAAATCATGTACATATGTCCAAAAGTATCCGGACAGCCCTAAAGTAAGGTCACCCATTGCTGACAATGTCCACTGTTGTTGTTTGTACAGTCTCCATAGAAAAGCTCTGGATCTGCTGCCCCCCAGAATTGGGCTGTGGAGCAGCTGAACTGCGTTCTCTGGAATGATGGGGCACCATCCAATACCTTTGGGATGAGTTTCTGATCCAGAACCAGAGTTAATTATATTATATTATATTATATTATATATTAAAAAATCAAATCCGCACATCAATGCAAAATATTGTTTAATCTCACTTTTTGTTTAATCTCAGGGGCCTCGCAAGACAGTGATCTGTCTCTGTTCAGAACTGACCATCCAACATCAGTACCTGACCTCACTAATGCTCAATCAAATCCTCACAGCAATGTTCCAACATCTAGTGTAAAGCCTTCCAGAAGAGTAGAGGCTGTTACTGCAGCACAAGCTCACTATTAATACCCTTCATTTCAGAAGAAACGCTGAAATATGTCCCTGATATCTGAAACATTACAGTTTAGGCCTAAAATGTATTTTTAATCCAAGCATAGCAGAAAGGTAATGCAAGGTGTTATAAGGCCAAATATTCCCCAAAGAAAGCTTATTATTTTCAGATTTTCCTCCATTTTACCATCATCAACATTCCATATAAAACTCAGAAGACATGTGTAGGTCCACTGATGGTTTTGGATAGTAAATAAAATGGCTATATTTGTGTTGTAGTCATGGTGACTCCTGGTTCCAAACACCACCACTGTAAAGAAATATGAACCATTTCACACTGAATACTCTGAATCACCCTGTTTACATCCCAGTAACTGAATCAATAAGTGAAGTCTTACAAAAGAGTGCAAACCAAACAAAAACGTCAAAGGATACTCCAGTGCGACAGGCTATGCACTATTTAAATAACTATCTATTAAAAACACCACTGAGATTATTATCAATTAAAGCAATTGAATATTAAGGCCGCTGCACTTACCTGCAGGCTAAAACATGAATAGGTTTAAGGGAAAGCTGGGTAACTCTCACTGGTGCTGGTAGGAATGAGACGCACACAAAAAATCACTCCTTTATCTGACTAAACAAGTTCTGCCTTGACTAAATGTTGAGCTTCCTGACCATTTTGTTCCCCTCAGCAGGATTATGAAGTGATTTATGACAAACGGCAAGGACAAACAATAACCTCTGAGCTTCTGACCATCTCAAGAGGAAACAGTTTCCACCGGATACCATGGCAACCAAAAACAGTGTCTGCATCAACAGATTTATGTAGGCACTCTGTGTACATGCAAGAACACACACATACTACACGTAATCCTTCTGCCTGAGTTATTGTTGTCGTCTGACTTGTTTTTCATCCCAGAGAGGTTTTCTCACTTTGATTTTGCTCTTAACTGTTTGTGAGCTGAAAACAACACAAATGATACAATGAAGAGAAAGACAAGACGTCTGTGATGATCAAGCGACATCTGATGAGTGAAAACAGCACAGATTTTGTGCAAAATAAGCAAAATAAATTTTGTCATTTGTGATTAGCAAACAGTGCATGACAGCAAAGGGGATTTTTAAAAATTCACATAAAGTCACATTTAAAGTGACAAAAGCAATGATTATAATTTTACACTACAAAATATCAAACTGAACACTCTTAAAAAGACATGATTCTTGACTGAGGCATACAGTTCTAAGAAAAACCTTTATTACTGGCATCTCAAATTGGGGCTACTAGCCAGGTGGTCTTCTGCTAGGTCGGTTGATTATTATTACTATTATCAATTATTATTATTATTATTATTATTATTATTAGTAGTAGTAGTAGTAGTTTTTAATGTATTATTATTATATATTCCAAGTGATATTAGAGCATTTCTATTGGTCCATTCATCATGAAATTTTCACACAACGTAAAGGAGAACTGGTGTGTTGAAATAATGTAGAAAAATAGCCAAAAACGTAGATACATGCTTTTCTTTAGACAGTGACGATATATTTATATATGGTTGAGTGTATATTTCTGTGTGTATTGGTGTTCCTGCTGAACTGAAGTTACTGCGAAAGAAGTGTTGCACAATTCTATGTTTTCAGTGGATTAGTTGAATAATTCAGTTCATTTCTTATGTGCTGAATCCCCTGTTGTGTCCTGAATGAATCCACAAAGGTAGATTTAACTAACTGTCGGTCTAAATTGGAATAATAGCTGAGTTATTAGTAGCTAAACTACAGTCAAGCTCAGTGTGCAGCGTTTATACTGCGCCAGGTTTACGTTTGAATGGTTCCTATTCTGTGCTGAGCTCTATTGTTGATTTTATTATCATAATCTTCAGCCTGAGCTGATTTTATGTAGTATATTTGGGTGATCAATCACAGTTTTTGGTGGATGAAGCAAATCTACTCGTCAGATATAAATATTTAGCAGCAGAAAAACGAAAAAATGATTTGCGAGGATTTAAGGACAAATTACAAATATGACGTGTAGTTTGAGACCCCTTTGTAAAACTGGTATAGAGCCTTCCACTGAAAGGTTCTTCGGGAACCAGAAGGGGTTCTTCTATTGCAGTGTTCACCAAAGCTGCTCCTGGAGATCTACACACTTAAAAAGATGGTTCTTAGAGGGCTCTTTATTAAAGAAAATGGTTTTATAGAACCATGAACACTGAAAGAACCCATGATTAAAGGGTTCTCTGCATGGTACAATCGTTGTTCAGATTGATGGAGAATGCGCTTTATATGGCTCTATAAAGAACCTTTTTAAAAATGGTTCAATATAGCATCAAAAATGATTCTTCTATTGTAACAAGCCTGACACCGTAACAATAACAGAACCCTTGTTGGTGCTATAGAGAACCCACAGCACATTCTCCATCAATCTGAGGAACGCTTTAATCCTGCTAACGGTTCTTTGAATGTTTACGGTTCTTTATAGAACTATTTTCTTTACTAAAAAATCTTAAAGAACCAATTGATAAGCATGTAGATCTCCAGGAGTGGTTGGTGACCCCTGTACTGTGGAACCCTTTCTGGTTCCACTTGTCATCTTTTATTTTTAAGAGTGAAATTGTTAACAGCAACATACACAATTTACATGAACAGCAGAATCTGATAAAGGCTACAGAAAAGCATGAAGGTGATCTTTTCTTCATTAATGAGAATGAAATGGGTTCAGTAAGCGATGATGTTGCCGATGAACTCCAGGAACCTCTTGCCGTACTGCTCAGGGTGTACTGTGGAGATCTCTGCACCAGACTAGGAAAAGAAGAAACATCAAAAAATACTGTTAAGGCAACTAAATACTAAAAACTGCCAGTGGACAACAGCGCAGAAGCCTGGGAAAATGCTTTAGATCATTTAGAAACATCGTGGTAGGTGGTCATCGAGAACAGAGAAGGAGCTATAAAGTCTCCTTTCTGTGTTTTGCATTATTGCGTTAGTGATCATTACTGGAATCATTTGATCAATTCCTTTTGACCACTTGTGTGTGATAATTCATAACAGTGCTGGTGATACTTGACAGTCAGAGAACAGCGCTGTCTGTCTGTCAAATTCGGCCCAATCCCATTTCTTATTTTTACCTCTACCCCTTGTTTTCAAGTGTCACATTGCCCCTTGAAACAAGGGGTTGGAGTTGAAATCTTCCCTACGGGAAGAATAAAGAAGGACATTACTTCATTAAAAGGCTACAAGCGGTGCTCTGTAGGTGACCCCGTCAGTCTGCAGTGATAGCAGAGGAGGGTAAAGTTCGACAACCTCGCTGCTGGGCTTTAGTTATATTTAGGGAATCATATGCATGCAAAGGGGGGGCAATTGTTTATTATCGCCCACCCCTAATTATTCAGTGATATGAAGCTGAAGTCAGCTATTCGCCAGCTTCTTGTTCGAATTTTCCTGTTCCACCTTAAATGGTCTGAGGCACCAGAATGTAACTGCTGCACCATTTCAAGTGGAATGGTAAATTTAGCTAGCTAGCAAGACATCTGCATACTACTAGTGATTTTTTATGCTTGTTATGAAGAAAAAGACCCTAATACATTGAAATGACATTAAAGTAAGATAATACAATGGTCATTGTGATTTTTTAACAGAGAAAATTCTCACATTTGTGGGTTTCTTTGGTCGCTTCTGCAGCCATCTTGCTGGTTTTTCTTTTTTCCTCATAACACTCTGTTTGCAGTTTGAAAGACCTCTGTTTGGAGGGCCATGCAGCCCTAACACTTCCCCTACCCCTCTATCTCAACAAGAATTGGGACACCCTACTCCTAGACGTGAACGCACAAAATGGAGGGGTAAGGGCTAAGTGGTAGGGGAGAGAGGTGATATGGAATTGGACCAAAATCCATAACTGATTGACTCACCCCGTGTTTGACTGTTTTTGCTGCGTGAGCTGCTTTCTTCTTGGTGTCATAATGCGTCAGAATGTTTATCAGCCCCATAAAGTATACCTCTCGCTGTGGAGCACCTAGGAAGGATTAAAAAAAAGAGAGATCTTTTAGAACTTTCGATTCTAATGAAGGAACAAACACGACTAAACTGTAAAACATGTTAAAGTCGGATCAAACTTACAGTTATAAGGCAGCTTGTTTGAGAACTCTCATGTTGAGATAACTCCAGCAAGTTGTGAAGTTGCTTTACAGTTTTGTTTATCTGACTTCTATGGGCAGAATTACTAAGATTTTACACCCTCCTAAACTTAATTTTGCCATAATAAGATCAAAGTGGTGTCGTTGCTCTTTTGCGCTGTTGCCTCATTTGCATATGCATATGAGTTTCTCTCTCAAAGCGCAGAATAGAGGGAGGAGATTATTATAATGAAGTAAGTGTGTGCAGAGAAAAGAGAGTTTTTCAAACATATGTATATATTTTTTAAAACAAATTCATTAAAATTTACAATAAGAAACAGAACATGATGGATATGTGTGGATCATTCGGCCGCACTGGTTCAAGGTCTGACCTGAAACATATTTCAGACTTTTAACTGTTCTTAGACTTTAGACTAAAACCCTTCTGCTTTGAGTGACTCTATACTTTAATTATGTTTATTTTAATAAAACTAATGATTGAACATTCCATTTTGTTGCTACCAAAACAATCATAACACTGGCCAAACTTTACCAAATGTTTCAGTATTGACTGTTTCGGTTGTGAAAATCATCATATTTTTTATCGAAATCTGTCTTTCAGTAGTGACAGTCCTTAATGTTTCACACTGCAGACTTTGGGACACATTTACTTCAAAACAATGGGATCTAACTACTCACCATGTGGCCATGAGGGACAGGGATGCAACCTCACTTCCTTCTCTGAAATGCAGGGGCTGGCTAAAATAAGGTTCCGCCTTCAGACTAAAACTAAAGCCGCATTCTGTTCCACAGGGTCCCTAAGCAGTACTGCACTGGATTTCAGTTAAGGAAACTTCAGTTGATAATTCAGAATGTCCTGAAGTGTCATAATCAAACATACATCTTCAAGAGACCTGCAGTGACTGATGGGTAAACTTTCCTCCCCCTTTTACCCCATTCTTCAGTGGTCAGGACCCCCATGAACCCTCACAGAGCAGGTACTATTTGGGTGATGGATCATTCTCAGCACTGCAGTAACACTGATGTGGTGGTGGTGTGTTAGTGTGTGTTGCGCTGGTCTGAGTGGATCAGACACAGCAGTGCTGCTAGAGTATAACAGGGTAAAAGGGGGCTAACAAAGGATGCAGAGAAACAGATGGACTACAGTCTGTAATTGTAGAACTACAAAGTGCACCTTTATAGTAAGTGGAGCTGATAAAATGGACAATAAGCGTAGAAACAAGGAGGTGGTCATAATGTTATGCCTGATACACACCGATACATATTGAAGATACATTTTATATATATATATATATATATATATAATGTATCTTCAAGGTAAGCAAATTGTTGTGTGTTTTGAACTGTTTTGTTTGTTTTGAACTGTAATGAATAAAGACTCACCAGCTGCACTCTGGATGGCGTACACATCAACATACGGGTCAAACTCTCCTGGACCAAAAGGCTTCTGGCTGCTCATGTAGCCTGCGATTCCCTCAGGTGAGGTGCTGAGAGAGCCTACAGCTGGAGAACCGGTGGAGACACCGTTCTCCGGCTCTTCTTCCTCCTCACACAGCGGCTCTCCGTAGTCCTCCTCCTCCTCTCGCTCTGCTCTCTCCATGTCATGGATCCCTAACAGCAGGCTGTAGTCCATGATCTTTAAACGCACAAGGAACTGTAGGACCCCAAAAGCACAATACACAGTACATCACCACATGTAAATTTCTCTGAGGTTAGATATGATGGAACAAACACAATGAACCAATGTTTCAAAATTCCTCCATAATTCAGTGGTTCAGAGGTAAACAGAGTGATTCAGAGTGGTTTGGTGTGAAATGGTTCAGATTTCTTTACAGTGGTGGTGTTAGGAGCCAGGGGTCGCCATGACTACAACACAAATACCGCCATTTTATTTACAATCCAAAACCACCAGTGAACCTACATGTGTCTTCTGAGTAATAACTTTCTTATTTGACCTTCTGTGTTCATTTGACCAGGGGCACCCAAACTTTTGCATATGACTGTACACAGGTCTGTCTAGCTAATTAACCTGATCTGTCTTTATTTGAATCATGCTGTCAATTATCCCCCTGAGTTTATATGAATTATTGTTATATGAGTGCTTGTTTTTAAAAAAACACATTTTACCTTAAACATTACAGTTATTTGAATAAAAAGTATCAAGCATGATAAATGCTTTTCACAGCTGAGAAAACACTCATCGTCAAAGTTTTAGTCTTCCTTCATTTGTGCACTTTTCCTGCTGTTGTTTTAACAGGATCTACACTTGTCAAAAGTTGCTGCTCATCAGAAAAAATATTATCTTTCCTTAAGAGTGAGCGTGAGCCAAGTTGTCCTGTTGCACAAGATAGTCGTTATGCAACCCATTCTAACCTCCTAATGATCAGTAACAATCTTTCTGAGCAGCAGCAGACTGTCCAGGAGATCCTGTGAAAACTCAGACTTCTTTACAGTGGTGGTGATCCAGGGGTCGCCATGACTACAACACAAATAAAGACATTTTATTTACTGTTCAAAACCACCAGTTAACCTACACATGTCTTCTGAGCTTTTATATGGAATGTTGAAGTTGGTAAAATAATGGTTAAAAAAAAAGTTTTCTTTGGGGACTATTTGGCCTCACAACACCCTGCATGTATCCCTCCACCATGAAGGTCATATATTCGTATATTTGTATAATGTGTTTAAGGCCAAAACTCTTGTAAAACAGTGTCTCAGGCATCAGGCAGTGTATTCATAACCTTTTCATGTAATAACTTTCTGTGAGGGAGCTTTTAGAGGTGGACATCTGGTTCCTATCACCAACACTGTGAACAATTCTGACCCAGTCAGTTTCTCTAGAATGGAGCATTTCACACCAAACCACTCTGAATGACTCTGTTTACATCTCAGCTATTTAATAATGCAGATTTTTAAAATAAAATCAGTGTAATTTCCCTTTAAACCTTTATGGGTTATTAGCAGTAGCCAATGAGCGGTCACTGCACACAGATGTGTTAGCATGATTATGGGAGGTTCACTTTTATAGTGATATGAACTTGAAAAAAATGTGTTACAGTTAAGCAATTAAACAATTACCTCAAGGGATTTTATGCAAAATGCAAGGCCACTTCAGATGTTTCATGTAAGTGACCACTGACCTTTAATTTATGAGTATTTTCAAGGTCTGAAAGTACTCATAAACAGTGTTTTTCTGTATTGTAAATGCATTTGGCAGAACATATAAACATTGTAAACTACTTGCCTCTACGTCTCTGTTCAGCTTGTCCATGAGCTTCTCCTTCTCCTCATCACTGATCCAAATTCTCTGCATGTTATTCCTGAAGTCCATGTCTTTGAAGGTGGGGAGTTCCTTGACCTTTAACACATAAACACATGTTTTCACACTTGCTTTAACATTCCTGACTGTTTTCTGATGTCTCACTGATTCATACAACCACTAGATGGCAGCATGCGAATAATTACAAATTAAGCGTATGAGTGTAAATACATAAAGGAAAAAGAGCATTCTGCTGACAAAACATGATGAGAATGCAATTTAATCCTTAAAAACGAAGAAGAAGACATCTGCAGTAGCGTTAGTGAAGTTTATGCAGGTTTATTATAGTCTGCCTTCCAAGTTTAACAGATTTTGGCCTGTATTTACTGCTTTAGTTTTCTCTGAGTACACACACAAAAAGTAGCAATAATGCCAACCAATCAGCATTCAGTATCAGTAATGTTAACCAATCAGCACTCAGTAGCAGTAATGTTAACCTATCAGCACTCAATAGTAATACTGACTAATCAGCACTCAGTAGCAGTAATTCTAACCAATCAGCACTCAGTGGCAGTAATGCTAAGCAATCAGCAGTCAGTAGTAGCAATGCTGATCAATCAGCATTCATTATCAGTAATGCTAACCAATCAGCACTCAGTGGCAGTAATGTTAACCTATCAGCACTCAGTAGTAGTGCTAACCAATTAGCACTGAGTAGCACTAATGCTAATCAGCACTCTGTAGCAGTAATGCTAATCAGCGATACAACACATACAGCACAATTCTTTAAAATCTCACCTTCTCTTTATCACTTGCTTCTCGAGATACCAAAGAGCCCTATAATGAGAGAATGACTTTCTTCAGGTTAAATATAGTATAATGATTACTTCCAAGGCAAAACAAACATATGGAGTGTATAAAATAACACTAAATCCATGCTTAAATGGTTCTTTAATCAAATGGTTCAGATTCTCTGTTTTTATTACTGTCTTTAAGACTGATACATGTAAATGAGATCTCTTCTCATTGGCCTCATTCAAAAAGCAGTTCAGGTTGAAACACTGCTTGTAACTTCAGTGTGAGTGGGCGGGGCTAAACAGTTGTAGGCTGAATAGGTTTATATGTAAATGCATTGGTTTTTGTGACACCACAAAAACAGTGAATTCAAAACGGGCCGGTTTTGCAGCTTAGTTGACATATATGAACTGTATGGTGGTGGTAGGTGGGTTGCATTATAAAAAAATGTTAACAACGCACACTACACACTTAAAAAGATGATTCCTCAATGGTTCTTTAGTAAAGATAATGGTTCTATATAGAACCATGAACACTTTGCATGATTAAACGGTTCCTCAGATTGATGGACAATGTGCTGTAGATGGTTCTATATGGAACACTTTTTAGAGAAGGGTTATATATAGCACTAAAAAGGGTTCTTGTATTGTTACAATGTCAAGCCTGTAAAAATCGAAGAACCCTTTTTCAGTGCTCCAAAGAATGTTTTTCAAAAAGGTTCTATATAGAACCATCTACAGCATTCTGCAATCTGAAGAACGCTGTCATGATGCAAAGAGCTCTTTAATAATGCAAAGGGTTGTTGGAGTGTTCATGGTTCTATATAGAACCATTGTCTTTACTAAAGAGCCCTTGAAGAACCATCCTTTTTAAGACATCAAATTCTTTTTGTTTAAGACACTTGTTTCCATGAAATACATTTGCTGGTGATTAAAAGGTCCAGTTTTTGGGCAAATAATGACTCGCCTCTTCCAGCAGATTGGCTATGCCTGTTACAGAGAAACTACACCAAACATTGAAATGTGTTATAATTCTTGTGTTATTGGTAGCACTGTTGTTAAGACATTTGACATATTTTTGAAACTAATGAAAAATGTATTGTACAAATGCTTAAAAACTATAAACTTTGTAGTTCTACAGTTACAGACTGTAGTCCATCTGTTTCTCTGCATACTTTGTTACCCTGTTTTTTAATGGTCAGGACGCCTACAGGACCCCCACAGAGAAGGTATTACTTGGGTGGTGGGTCATTCTCAGCACTGCAGTGACACTGACGTGGTGGTGGTGTGTTAGTGTGTTGCGCTGGTACAAGTGGATCAGACACAGCAGTGCCGCTAGAGTTTTTAAAGACCTCAGTGTTGCTGGACTAAGAACCAAAAACATCCAGCCAACAGCGTCCTGTGGACAGCATCCTGTGACCACTGATAAAGGACTAGAGAATGACCAACACAAACAGTGCAGCAGCAGATGAGCTGTCGTCTCTGACTTTACATCTACAAGGTGGACCAACAAGGTAGGAGTGTCTAATAGAGTGGACAGTGAGTGAACACAGTGTTTAAAAACTCCAGCAGCACTATTGTGTCTGATCCACTCGCACCAGCGCAACACACACTAACAAGCCACCACCCCGTCAGTGTCACTACAGTGCTGAGAATGATCCACCACCCCACCACCCGTGGGGGTCCTGACAATTGAAGAACAGGGTGACAAAGTATGCAGAGAAGCAGATTTACTACAGTCTGTAACTGTAGAATTTCAAAGTGCTCCTATATGGTCAGTGGAGTTGATAGAATGGACAATGAGTGTAGAAACAAGGAGGTGGACTTTATAAAGTAGCCAGTTGGTGTATATATGTTTATATTTCATTAAATGTGATGATAAAATAAACCCCGTCTTCATCATTAATCAAAGCAGATTTTGCGTCAAAACCAAATGAAGCGCATTGTGGTTTTTCAAAAGCAAATAACATCATCACAAATGTTGTTTACATTGTAAATAATTGAGATAATAGTAAGGTATATGAATTATTTTAAAAATCCACTTAGAATGGTTATGGGTGGCATGACCCATGAACCCATCATCCATTGTCAGTGTTTTTCTTCAGCTCTAGGCGTCCACTCATAAAGAACATGCTGGGAACAAATGAGAGCATTTTCCTCAGAAGTTACCTTCAGGTCATACTTCCTGTGGATGATCAGCCTGTGACTGAACATGTTCCTCGTCACAGTGAGGTATGTGTCTTCATTATCCACAGTAACACGATACATGCCGAGGAACTGGGGGAGCAGCGTGATGCCGTGGCATGTCACGATGTGCTAAACAGCACAAATACGAGATTCAGATCCAACGATTGCCAAAAACATGCTGTACATGCTGTATACTGTTGTGACGAGCAAAATCAGCTCACTAGTATACAAACTGAAAGAAACGCAGGATGAGCAGGTGTCTACAGACATTTGGACATAAGGTGTAGAGATAACCAGATATTAACCTCACTGTCATGTGCTTGTTTGAATTCAACCCAGCAGTCATCAAAGGGGAGATCCACCAATTTTTAAAATATTTTGTCTAATTCAGTGTTTGAGATGTAAACAGAGTGATTCAGAGTGGTTTGGTGTAAAATGGTTCAGATTTCTTTACAGTGGTGGTGATAGGAACCAGGGGTCGCCATGACTACAACACAAATATAGACATTTTATTTACTATCCAAACCACCAGCGAACCTACACGTGACTTTCTGGGTGTGTTGAAAAAAAATAATAAAAATAAAAAACCATCAGGTCCAAAATAGTAACTTTTTCAGGAGAAGAGAAAAAAACTTTCTTTACTTTTAACATTAATTCATGCGAAAGTATTTTTATTTGAAGTGATTTTTGCGTGCTTCTTTTGGTCCATTCATCGTGAAATTCTCACACAATGTGAAGGGCAACCGTAGTGCTCAAATAATGAAGAGTTATTTTAGAGGTGGTCATCTGGTTCCTATCACCACCACTGTGAACAGTTCTGACTTGTTAAGTTTTTCTAGAACAAAGCATTTCACACCAAAAACCCCGAATGACTCTGTTTACATCTCAACCCTTTATTAATGCAGAAATATAAAAAAAAAATCTGTGAAATCCCCCTTTAAATGACACAGTCACTAATAAACAATGCCACACCTGGTGGTACTCTGACAGGATGTGATGCATATCCTCCACTTCTTCGCTGGAGATCTGCTTAATAATCAACGTGTGGTCATATGAGGTCAGCAGCAGCCTGTCTTCCTGACTGTTGCTGTCCTTAATGGGGGGACTGCGGGCCAAAGAGACCTGAATGAAAATAAAGAAGAAGAAACATCAATAATGCTCAGCACCTGAGAAAACCTTCATTAGCAGATGGAGCTGCAGGACAAAGCAGTTATAGAAGGTGAATGCTGCTGTTAACCAGCTTTTCTGGGAATGTATAACATTAGAGACAAGCTCATTTGCATACTGAGAATCATTTATTTATAATTTATTAGATTTGTTAAAAGCTTTTATGACTATTTGAACATTCTGATAGGCTTCTGCACTATATAGCCAAAAGTATGTGGATCTCCCTGCCAATTACTGAGCTCAGGTGTTTCACCCACACCTATTGCTAACAGGCGTATAAAATCAAGCATATAGCCTTGCAGTCTCCATAGAAAAACACTGGCAGTAGAATGTGTTGTACAGAAGAGCTCAGTGATTTTAAACATGACTGTCATTGGGTGCCACCTCTGCCACAAGTCAGTAGTGCTATTATTGTGAAATGAAAGCATCTAGGAGCAACAAACAGCTGAGCCACAAAGCGGTAGACCACACAAACTCACAGAACAGGGCTGCTGTTTTGCATCACTCATTACAAAGTGCCTCTGGAAGCAACACAGCACAAGAACTGTGCGTTGCAAGCTTCATGAAATGGGTTTCCATGGCTGAGCAGTTGCACACAAGCCTAAGATCACTATGAGCACACTGCCACTGGACTCTGGAGCAGTGGAAACGTGTTCTTTGGAGTGATGAATCACGCTTCACTATCTGGAAGTCTGATGGGTGAATCTGGGTTTGGTGGATGCCAGGAGAACGCTACCTACCACAGTGTGTAATGCCAACAGTAAAGTTTGGTGGAGGAGGGATAATGGGCTGGGCCTGTTTTTCAGGGTTTGGGCCCTTTAGTTGTTGGGTGACGTTAATGCTACAGCACACAAAGATATTTTACACCATTATACACTTCCAGCTTTGTGTCAGCAGTTTGGGAAAGAGCCTTTCCTGTTCCAGCATGACTGAGCCCCTGTGCACAAAGTGAGCTCCATAGAAACATGGTGTGACCAGTTTGGTATGGAGGAACTCCAGTGGCCTGCACAGAGCCCTGACCTCAACCCCACTGAACACCTTTGCAATGAACTAGAGCGGAGATTGTGAGCCAGGTCCTCTCATCGAACATCAGTGTCTGACCTTACAAATGCTCTTTTGAGTGAATGGGCACAAATTCCTACAGACACACTTTAAAATCTCGTGGAAAGCTTCCCAGAAGAGTGGAGGCTCTTTCAGCTGCAAAGAACTTGGTTGGTAAGCTTCACACAGGAGTCATCCATAAAACACTAAGCTCACTGGGATTGTTTTTATGCAAACACTCATGCAAATACCAGTGAGGATAGTTTTCCTCTGGGGGAATGCATTTGACAGGAAAAAGAATTAGACACCTCCACAGCTCACCTCCATAATTGCACAAGCAGAATGCCAACGGCTCCAGTAAAAAAAAAAAAAATCAGTTTACAGGTCAGAAAGTGGACTCATAAAGTAGCACACAAAACAACAAAGTTTCTACAGCAAAATTTGGAAACTGTGGACTTGGTGATTCATTTAATAATGAAATGTATGATTTCCAATTGAACTGACATGTAGAGCGTCCTAAGCCCATCCTACTGCAGTGAAGTAGGGGAGCGCAGGAAGCAACCTGACACGGGACACAACAATGCAGCTCAGACACCTTTAGTAAACAAAGACAAGTAAAGTACATGTGATCTTTTGTGTTCTGTATGTTTACACAGATTTTAAAATGAAAAAGAGAAACATCTGAAAACAGGGATTTTCTTCTACTTCATTAGTATCTTTCAGATGTTAGTATTTAGGTTTTAAATAAATATATAAATGAAATTGACATTAACAGTTGATAAAGCTGTAGTTATTCAGAAACAATGTTCATATTTTACTAATGTGTGATGTTTTTTATTTTCCTTCACTGGACAAAAATAAACCTGTCATTGTTTGACACACAGACTCCTGTCAGTGTTCCTATATAATTTGATGTGTGTGCATCTATCAGTTAAGCTGTCTGTCTGTCTTATAGATGATAATATATAATGCAGGATGGTTGGAAAATATGTTTGTTTCTTACAGCATAGAATTATATTGAACTAACTTTGCACTGATTCATCAGACTTTTCTAGCAGGTGTTAAACTGACCCTCTGTCTGTTACAGTAAACCCACCCATGGGTTAAACTGTAACACTGCACTTCCCCTCATTTTGGGTGGAATTGTACATGAACGGTAGGTGATAGAAACAAAGTTCAAGTGGAATTCTAACCGTAGAATTACTGTTATTACTCTTGTAACAGCTGCTGTGTCTCTAAAGTGAAATGTCCTGGTTTAAAGACTAAACCCCCTTTTACTGATGTTGGACCTGAGGCTGTGTGAATTATGTATTTATTTATTTTGCTAGCTGGACTAAATTATACCTTTAACAAAGAAACAAATGAATACACCCAGCACCACAGGTGATTTTATTAGCCTTTAGATCAGTGGCTAGCAGCCAGGATTTGTTGACACCACAGGGATTCCAACAGTTGTGTGATGTATCTATGTAATGATTGGCCCTTTTCACATTTCTGCATTCTTTCTACTGGACGTAGTTGTTGCAGGGTAGCGCTGCTTCCACTAGAACAATAACAATCACCACGATGATGAGTAATGTGTGTACAGCTCACTCAAGTGTTTGAGTTTGAAACAAAAACAGCCTTATCTCAGTTTCAGTGGTTTATCTGCAGACCATGAAAAGAAGAGAACTGAGTTTGTGCAGTTAATAAAGGAATAAACTTTGTCATACCGAGGAAAAGAACCTCTGTGTCTGCATTTCACCGCTGCTGACTAACGTTAACATGCAGTTTGTTCTTTAAAGTTGCTGCTGCAGCCGCTTTCAGAGGAACAGATTTCTGAGAGAGCGTCTGAGAGAGCGAGTGCTCAGGAGGGGGTAGATGTTCGTTCACTGGAGCCGCTGTTTGTGTAAAACATCTACAGTGACACTACGGACCATGACGACCAGGTGTGCCCCCCTGCCGGCATGTGTGCGTGTTTAGCTTTTTCCTAACTAGTTTTTTGTTAGTGATTTAGCATTTTGGTTATAGTTATCTTCGCCTCAATCAATTTATCGCTCTGTAGATGTTAGCTGTTACTGTACTCTGATAGATGTGAAGGTTTTTTTTTCACAAATCATTTATATCCTTTATTTAGTTTGGACTGCCAGACTTTTGGGTGTTTGACTCTCCAACAGTTCTGGACACATCCTCGAAATTCAATCTTGGCAACTATGACAAAGAAAAAGTAACACACCTTTCTGTGGTGAGCTAAAATGATATGAACGCCTGTATTTCTGAGGTTAATAACTGCCCGTGAGGCAATAGCAGAACATGTTTTACCCAGCGTTTACACACTTCTGTTTCTTGTGAAAAGGGCCTATTGCTGGCTATCGTAGTGAGACAACACTGATGGAAAAAAACACTAGAACAGTTGAACCGATGAGGCTGAGGGATGCAGTACTATGCAACAAAATATTACATATAACATAACAAATAACAGATTAAACACTACCAGAATGTCCCTTTAAGTACTGAGTAACATATAGAACTGAAAACAGTGGTTTTAAGGTCTAATTGTGAACCTTTAATAGGTTTCTCCAGGTGAAAAGTATGTATGTCTACCTTTTCATAACCTATTGTTTTAAAACAGAACAATAAAAAGCCTGGAGACGAGACGGGGTGTGTGGAGTCAATACAACTTAGAAAATATAATTTCAATGGATTATGGTACAAATATGTTCCCTGACTAATGGTACTGAGATGTACCCTTGAGGGTACCACCCCAATGACAAGAGGGGTACTGCCCCAGTCACAGTTTAGTACCTTTTTTTTCCCGAGTGTATGGAAGATTCTTACGGTAAATTTAAAGTAATAAATGATTCTAATCATATTATATTATACTTTCTCCCTGTGTGTGTGTGTGTGTGTGTGTGTGTGTGTGTGTGTCCGTGGGTGACCCTGAATATTTGGTGTGTGCCAAGTAGGGCAGAGAGAAAAACCTGTTTGTTTCATATGAGTGTTAACATGTCTTTGAAGGAGAAAAGCACAGATGTAGAAAGACTCAGTTGTAACCATACTGAATTAAAGTAATACATGAAGTGAATAAGGTTTAAAGGCCTGGGCCTGACTGTGGCCTTGGCCTGTGATTATTAAAAAAATATGTTACTCCTCAAGTTGGAAAAAATGGTGGAATTTTTGATAAGAAAAGATGATGATGTTAATAATGACGTGCAAGGTAAAGAAACAGTGTAAGGTTTAGAGATAATGGTGTGCAAATCAAAAGATTTGAAATATTTGGGAGGGGCAAGGAGGAGCCAGATGTTACCCAGAAAAGGTGTTACCTAGGAAAGTGTTTAAAATTATGGGTTTTTGTGGGTTGGTCAGTTGTTGCCTGGGCCAACTCAGATTAACGCTTGTTTGTTGGACAGCCTTAATCTTAATGAAAGAAATTGTGCCTTTTCCTGCAAAAAAGAGCTTTATTTTAATTCTAAACCTTTGAGCAATGCCTATTTTTGATATAGATTATAGAACCATCTGTAGCACATTCTCCATCAATTTGAAGAACCATTTAACAATGCAAAGAACCATTAAATTATGCAAAGTGTTCATTGTTGTATCAACAACAATTTTATTGACTAAAAAACCCTTGAAGAACCATCTTTTTAAAGAGTGCTGTCAGAATTATTAGTATTGCCTGATTTTTATTATTTAAGCTGATCGTAATTATTTTCCACAGCTGTTTGCTTTCAGAATCATATGTTTACAATAAAAAGAATGTAAATTGGGTGTGATGTCATATGAGATGAGGCAAATATGTGTAAATAAAAAATGGGGAACACATTCATATTTAATATAGATTGTCTTTTTTTAGTAAAGACAGTGGTTCTACATAGAACCATGAACACTTAAAGAATCTTTTGTATAATTAAAGGGTTCTTTGCACTGTTAAATGGTTTATCAGATTAATGAGTATCTTCATTTTTGTCTTTTTTTTTAACATTTTTTTTACTTAATTTAAAAATGCTAGTTGCCTGTTGCACTGTGTGGCATGTTCATGATAAATGGACCAATGGAAATGATCCAAAATTTAATTACTATTTTTTTTGGCCATAAGTGTGTTTGTACTTGTAAAACACCATATATCATATGTAAATGTGTTTCCCATTTTTAATTTACACATATTTGCCTCAACGTATGACATCACACCTAATTTACATTCTTTTTTTTGTGAAGTAAACATGTAATTGTGAAAGCTAATAGCTGTAGAAAATAATTGTAATCAGTTGAAATAATAAAAATCAGGCAATAGTAATAACTGTAACATCACTCTTTAAAAAGATTGTTCTTTAAGGGTTCTTTAGTCAAAAAAATGGTTCTATACAGAACTATGAAATGGTTCTTCAGATTGACTGAGAATGTTTTGTAGATCCTTTTTGAAAAGGGTTCTATATAGCACCAAAAAGGTTTCACTATTGTTAAAAGCCCAAAGAACCCTTTTTTGCTACTATATAGAACCATTTTTGCTAAGGTGAGGCCTAAAATCTCTAATTATGTTTCTGTTAATTTAAATCTTAAAACACAACTCAGAGCTTACAATCAGAAAATGCGGAGAACATCACAGCTCCTACCTGGTAGTCGTGGTCCTCAATTCCAAACCGTTCTCGGAGGTTGCGAAACACCTGCGGGCAGTACTCCTTGAACTTAAAGTGTCCTGGAAGGTTTTCCCTGTGTCAAACACAAAGAATGAGAAACTCAGAGTGAAGTTACTAAGAGTTAAACCCTCAGAGATGCTCATGTGGTTTCTGACACTGTATCTTATCTAGAAATATGGATAAGCATACATTAGCATAACTGAATACAGTAGTAGCATCCAGAGAAGGCATCTGAGAATATGACTGTAATCCCTTGTTCATTTTTCTTTAATACAATCAGCATGTATTTAACTCTGCAAGTCCTGTAGAGCTCTCTCTTCTAGGGTTAGGACTTCAGGAGCTGGACTGAAGGCCTTACATGTTTGTTTAACTACCAACATAATTAGGAACTCAACAGAGAACTCAACCAGTCACGCTTTGAGACCAATTTTAGTAAGAAAAAGGTCACTGTAGTCCTTCTGGAAGTTCTAGATACGTCACTGACCCTGAATAGAGTTGTAGTCTAAGCGGATTCTGGTTAGTTCTTAGGAATGGGAAACAGCGGCAGCAGCTCTATGTACTGTAAAACTGATACATACGAGCTCTGGTATATGAAAATGTCCGTTACAAGTTTCAAATAAAACATGAAATGTATTTTGAAAGAGTCAAATGTTTACCTTTAATATAGAATGAAAAAAGTCCTGAAAAAAAATCTGAATTGCTGAAGCGCTGACATACTACTAGAGATCCCATTTTTATAGCTAACAGCATGTCCTCTGCATGTCACAGTTTGGACGATGGTAATTTGTGGTAAATAACCTTTTATTACTTGATCGCTACCTTAGTCTTGTAGCTTCAGTGCAAAAACTAAAGAAGAACTTCAGATACCAAACATGTTGTGGCTGACTGTTTACATTTGGAGTAAAAGGAGAAAACTGGGTAAATTTGATTTGGTTTAAGAGTAATGACTGAATAATGCACCTAGAGTTTAAGGAATGAATCCAATGTTCAGCAGTTTACAGTAGAGATGCACTGAAATTTCCACCAAAAAATGTCACCAAATATTTTTTCATGAAAACTGTCAAAAGTGGCACTTTCTGTTTTTAGGAGAAGGAGAAAAAAGGTCATAAATATTGACCGAAAAGTGCGAAAGATTAAATAGGACTACAATGAAGTGTCAAAATGTAATGCTTAATAGGAAATAGTTTGAATGGCAATGAAACTGAGAAATAATCTTTGCTCTTCTGTGCCAGTTAACACAGCTGCATTCGAACAGTTTGAGCAGCAGAAGATTAACAGTAAAACACCAATAACCAATAATCATATCAATAATATTTTGGTAAAACTTTGAAAGTTGTTAGTGTAAACATGCATACCTTGGTGTGATCCTGCTGGTGTGGGTTTGTGGCTGTTTCTTTTCTAAATGCGGGCTCTAGACTGCGACCAAAATGGACACAGGTGCAGTGTTACCTTTTTCTCTGCATTATAAGACAATGTGACCTTCTTTGCTCTTTTAATGATATTTTGGAGATAGTAGTATAGCTTGTGTCTAGTTAGTTAAGTGATATCTGGCTAGGACAAATCTAGAGTGCGTAATCAACTATACTACAGGGAGATTCACTCAAAAGAGGCCCCGAATATTCTGTAATAACTAATAATAACTAATAATTCTGTAATAACTAATAATAAAAGAATTTTCATTTTGGTGCATCACTATTTAGCAACACAGTGTTACAGTCAGCTTCATATGAAAACTGATATGGTATGATATGATACATAAAAAATAACACATTTTTTATGTGCCCACTCATTCAGCACAATTCATATCGTTTAAAAGACGAAGTCTTGATTCCTTTGTACTCCTCCATCAAAATGCGATGACTTTAGCCCCGCCTCTAAAACATCTTCTGATTTTTTATGATGTCACTGTGCACCAGCGGGCAGGGAAAAAAAATGTGTTAACTAATAACATCAAATTTCATCTCCTTCTTTCGTCGCTCAGCTGGCTTGGAGAACCTCCCTGATACCATAACTAATACACTCGCAAATACACATATGGAATTAGAATGAATTATGAATTCACTTTTACACAAACTGAATCAAAAGCTTTATTATATTTATAAAATGATAAAGATTTAACAAATACAATTTTTCACCACTACTGTACATAAAGTGCAAAGTGCATCAAAAAGTAGTTAAATATAACTCTTTCCAAAGATAAATATTATTATGGTTATAAATAATGATAATAATCTTTTATTATGTTTGAATGATGGGGTCAGATTATAGCAGAAGGAGCAAATGTTCAGATTGAGACACATATACCCTGTTCAGTAAAGTGCCTCAGTGCTGCAATCTCAAAATCCCCCGAAAAGCACATGTATCAGAATACCAGGGCGGATTACGGGTTGGAGAAAGGCTCTTTGTGCAGCGTTTTTGCTCAGTCATGTAAACAAGCATCGAGCATGTGTCCTTACTTTCTACGGACATATGCTGTAGATATTAACCACTTAACATTTCAGGTTTACTTCATACTAAGACTTATTATTCAGTAACTACAGGAACTTCAAAGCAAACTAATGGAGCTATTCTTATTTTATAGAAGTGTGTAATAAAACTTTGGGCCTGCTGGTGGACCCATGGCTTTTCGTGAACGTTTAACCTCTTAAACCGGATCCAGGCTTACATTCCTCACTCTTATAATTCAGGAATAAGTCGGTCAGTGTGCACTGTTTTCTCTATAGCTTTAGGATGCAGTGAGTCTGGACATAAACAAAATGAATGAACAGAATGAACAGAATAAAGTAGGAAAGTAAAATTATCATAAACTAGCTAACAGTATGTCAAAGACTTCTCCTGAGTACACAGAATTACAGCACACTCTTAGCAAACAGGGTTCTATATAGTACCAGAAAAGTTTTTTGGCTTGTAACAGTAGTGGAACCATTTTTGGTGCTATATAGAACTCTTTAAACTCTTAAATCATGCAAATGAGTGTTTGAGTGTTCATGGTTCTATGTAGAACCATTTTTGTTACTCAAGAACCCTTGAAAAACCATCTTTTTTAGGAGTGCGTGACTACTGACATTTAGCTTGATGGTTGCATAGATTGCACTTTTAAATAAGATGGTTCTTCAAGGGTTCTTTAGTAACAAAAATGGTTCTATGTAGAATACATGATACATGATTTAAGGGTTCTTTGAATGGTGAAATGGTTCTTCAGATTGATGGAGAATGTACTGTAAATGGTTCTATATAGACATTTTTTTAAAAAGGATTCTATATAGCACCAAATAGAGTTCTGCTATTGTTCTGATGTCAAGCCTGTAACAATAGAAGAACCCTTTTGGTGCTATACAGAATCCTTTTCAAAATGGTTCCATATAGAACCTATTAAACACACTCTATCATTCTGAAGAACCCTTTAATAATGGAAAAGGATGTTTGAGTGTTTAGGGTTCTATATAGAGCCATTTTTTTACAACTCCATTGGGACGCTGTGAAAAATGTAAATAAAAACAAAATGTAATGATGTGCAAATCATTTTAACCCTATATTTCATTGAAAATGCTTCAAAGACAACATATCAAATGTTGAAACTGAGAAATGTTATTGGTTTTTGAAAAACATTTGCCCATTTTTAATTTGATGGCAACAACTCGTTCCAAACAAGTTGGGACGGGGGCAAAAGAAGGCTGGTAACGTTGTGTAATGCTGAAAAAAAACACCTGGTGGTTGATTGGCAACAGGTCAGTAACATGACTGGGTATAAAAAAGCACCTCAGAGAGGCTGAGTCTTTCAGAAGTAAAGATGAGGAGGAGAACTTTTGCTTTTCATCATCTACGGTACATAATAACATACATATATGTTTTGGATGGCAGCATATGGTAATAACATATGCTGTCACCAGATGACATCTTTTTCAGGGAAGGCCTTGATTATTTCACAAGACAATGTCAAACCACATTCTGCATGTATTACAACAGCATTGCTCTGTATTAAAAGAGTCCGGGTGCTAAACTGACTTGCCTGCAGTCCAAACCTGTCACCACTGGATACAACATTTGGCACATTATAAAAAGAAAAATATGACAAAGGAGACCCTGAACTGATGAGCAGCTGAAATCCTATATCAAGGAAGAACGAGTAAACAATACGCTTTCAAGACTAGCAGTCGATCTCCTCAGTTCCCAAACGCTTACAGAGTGATGTTAAAAGAAGAGGTGCTGAAACACAGTGGTAAACATGCCCCCATCACAACTTTTTTGGAACGTGTTGTTGGTATCAAATTCAAAATGGGCATATATTTTTCAAAAAACAATAAAATTTCTAATTTTCAACATTTGATTTGTTGTCTTTGTACTATTTTCAATGAAATATAGTGTTTAAATGATTTGCACATCATTTTTTGGAAATGTGTTGTATTACTTCTGTTATTAAAGATGCAACCCTTAGACACAAATCATCCTTATTCAATACAACTGTGAAAATTGCGTGAATTCAATTTTTTGCCAAACTGTTCCTTTAACATCTAAAAACATTTTTCGGACATCCCTGAAAACCCACCTCCCCCCTCACACACACAGACCAACACATAATTAGTTGCATGTAATTTGAATCAGGTTCTGTGGCATCAGGAGCGCATTTGAATACAGTGAGCTCAGGTGAGGTTGAACTCCTACGCTGTGCACCTGCTTTGCTGCTTTAATTGGCCAGTGACAACAAATGTTACTTAATATTGCTGTTTGTGTCTCATATATTAATAAATGTTTTTGATTTTTGATTGTACTTTAATAAAAACTGAGTGGCTGCATTGTAAAGGGCCCATTTCCTGTAAGGTTTAATATGTAAACACTGTTAAACTTTTAAAGGGCCTATTTCATAGATTTTTCTTGTTTTTTGTTTTTTTTTCAATGAGGTCCAGTTTTGAGATCTAATCTTTCTATGTAGCATAAAATTTGTAATAATACTTTTTTAAATAACCTCTTTTTATCCCTCAGAATTAAACAGGCTGTTTAGCCTCGGCCACTCACACTGAAGTTACAAGGAGTGTTTTTTGAATGAGGCACAATACAGGACAGCTAATTACACTAGCACCATTACGCTAGCAGATCTTTTCCTGCAGATTATGTCTGGTGGGTCGTACTTGTTGAACAGGTGATTGTTGACCTTGATCTTGCTGCTGGCTTTGAAATCATCTGGAAGCAGCATGACGGGTACTGGCACCTGAGAGAGGTCATTCACCTGCCGAGGGGAAATGGACACAGAGTTAAACAGCATACAACCATGTACACTATGTGTCCTAAAGTATCCAGAGGATTAATCAGCTCAGTTTCTTTAAGCACCACAGAAAAGCATTGAGATGTACATGAGCCTAAGGTCACCATGCTGTGGAGCAGTGGAACTGTGTTCTCTGGAGTGATGGAGCTCTATGCAATACCTTTGGGATGAGTTGGAGTGACCCAGAACTGACCATCCAACATCAGTATCTGACCTCACTAATGCTCAATCAAACCCTCGCAGCAATGTTCAACTTCTATTTTAAAGCCTTCCCAGAAGTGTAGAGAAGTGTAGAATACCCTTCATTTCAGAAGAAACACTGTAAGTAAATGTAATGGGCAGGTGCTGATAGCAACCATTAAGCTGTAATTAAGTGGTTCCCAATGTCAATCCTGCAGACCCCGCACTCCCCTCATTTACTTTACACCTGACCCCCATTGGAAACTCATTCCCACCAGTTACAGGAGAACACATAAGATTTTTTTGTCCTTCTCTGTTTCTGGCAGCACTACGTCATAATTTTGAATTAGTATCTTCAAATAATGACTTATTTTCTCAAAATACTGACTTATTGTGTCAAAATAAAATGACTTAGTATCTCAAAACATTGACTTACTATGTTGAGATGACATTATCTCAAAATAAAGACTCATTTCCCTCAATTAATTACTTGCTTTCCTCAAATTGAATCACTTATTTTGACATAGCGTCTCATTATCTTAAGAAAATCATTATTACAAGACATTGTCAATATTTCAAGAAAATGAATCATTCAAGATATTAATTCAGTATTTTGAGAAGAGCAGTCATTATTTCAAGATAATTGGTCAACAATTCGATAAAATTTGTCATTATTTCTAGATATTAAGTCACTATTTCTATATTATAGTCATTCATTTCTAGAAAAGTATTTAATATTTCAAGATATTAGATCAAAATTTCTAATATCTTATGTCACTATTGTGATGTAATTCAATATTTTGAGCAAATTATTCATCAAGTCATTATTTTCAGAAAATTAGTAACTATATCCAGATACTAAAACTATACAATGTTTTGAAAATGTCATTATTTTGAGATACTTTGTCAATATTGTGAGAAAAAAAGGTATTTTATCAAGATACTTAGTCAACATTTTGAAAAAATAAGTTATTATTTTGAGAAACTAAATCAATATTTTGAGATAATAAGTCATTATTTCGAGATACTTAGTCAATATTTTGAGATAATAAGTCATTTTTTCAAGATAACCAGTCAACATTTTGAGACAAATCATTATTTCAAGGTACTTGGTCAACATTTTGAGATAAAAAGTCATTATTTCGAGATAGTTGGTCAACATTTTGAGATAAAAAGTCATTATTTCGAGATCCTTGGTCAACATTTTGAGTGAAGAAGTCATTATTTCAATAAACTTAGTCAATATTTTGAGAAAAAAAGTCATTAATATTTGTATACTTTGTCAATATTTTGACGCAGTTACACAGTTGTTTTCCTCTGTTTTCAGTGGGCTTCCATATGAACCAGCACATCATGTTGTTAATTAGTTAATGAGCTGAATCAGTTGTGCTTTAATGAAGGAAACGTTCACAGTGTTGGGGGGTCCACAAGCCCCTGCGTTACTTTCTGTTCAGAGAGAGAGAGGATAGAAAGGACGACTCACCGTGTGATTTATCCCCCACATAAAGACACTCAGGACCGGGTCGCTCGCTCTCAGCACCTCCACCTTCTGCTGCACAAAGTGCTTTTTCTTGCTTTTGGTCCGGGAAAGTTTAAAGGCAGGATTCAAGACAGCAGCCGACTTACTGGGGGAAGCCATGACCCTCAGCACTGAGACGGTCAGAGGATGTCAGCTACAGACTGAGTAAGCTACAGAACAGACCAGCTTTCAGCACTGTGAAGCAGAAACATCAACATTCTTCAGAAGATCTCTGAGCTAATCCTTACTTCTTCAGTTCCTCTGTGGCTGAAAGGCCAGGCGGCCACTCTGCTCAGACATCTCTCAGTGAAATGTAAGAATAGAGGACAGTCAGCTCAGGTGAGTGCTGGTGGGTGTTCCCCTCAGAGCTCAGCCTCAGATTTGGTGAAAAGTCATTTATAGAAGATCCAGAAGCACAATAATGTAAAAGTGCTGAATGGACAAGAAGTAAACCAGTGTACGGTGTCTCTGCTATGAACTGAGTCACTGTTAAGGCTTTGGAATGTCACTTCTGTGTCTTTTTTTCCTGAAGGAAAATGCTAGGGTCATTTGATCTACACGTGACTCACTCTCTCTCTCTCTCTCTCTCTCTCTCTCTCTCTCTCTCTCTCTCTCTCTCTCTCTCTCCCTTCTCTCTCTCAGGCTCTAGGTAGAACCTTGTTGAGCTTTTAAGGCTTGATGTTATTTGCCTTTGAAAAACCACAATGCGCTTCATTTGGTTTTGATGCAAAATCGGCTTTGATCAATGTTGAAGACGGGGTTCATTATATCATCATGAACATTATATAATATCTACTGATACATACATATACTTCATTCCAACCACCTCCTTGTTTCTACAGTCTTTGTCCATTTTATCAGCTCCACTGACCATATAGTAGCACTTTGTAGTTCCACAGCACAGACTACAGTCCATCTGTTTCTCTGCATACTTTGTTACCCTGTTCTTCAGTGGTCAGGACCCTCACAGAGCAGGTATTATTTGGGTGGTGGGTCATTCTCAGCATTGCAGTGACACTGACGTGGTGGTGGTGTGTTAGTATGTGCTGCACTGGTGTGAGTGGATCAGACACAGCAGTGCTTTCATCTAAAATAGTAAATCTACTACATTTTTATATATAGTTTCATATATCAGTTCATTAATTATAATGGATACTTGAAAATCAAAAATAGGGAACATATTTTAAAGTCATTCATGGTTTAGGGATACATGCAGGGTGTTGTGAGGCAAAATAGTCCCCCCCCCCAAAATTATTATTTTCAGATTTTCCACTATTTCCCCATCATCAACATTCCATATAAAGCTCAGAAGACACATGTCAGGTTCACTGGTTGTTTTGGATAGTAAATAAAATGTCTATATTTGTGTTGTAGTCATGGTGACTCCCTGGTTCCTATCACTACCACTGTAAAGAAATCTGAACCATTTCACACCAAACCACTCTGAATAACAATCTTTGAAAAATCGGTCCCCCTTTTGGTTCTCTTGTGTCGTCTTATAGATGTGTTATTAAGATTTCACTAACTATCTTTGCAAAGTGAATACGAACCTGGTAGTGAACTTTTCAGACATAAAGCCCATTTACAGTAATAAACAAACAACGTTCTCTGTACCTTTCGTTACAGCACTTTATTGACAGTTACTTCAGATATTTTAAGTACAAACAAAACAAAACTCCATGAATATGTTCACAGATGAGGAACCGAACCATCAAATGTTGAAAATCACAGACTTTAGTTCCTTATTAGCATTTATTTGATCCCCCAAAAGCTGCAGTTTGAACGTTAGAAAAGATAAATAATAACAAATATGTAAAAAAACAGGAAAGATCAATAAATAAATGTCTTGATTTTAAGTTAGAAATACATACTGTAAGAAAATAGGCTATACAAAGTTTCTCTCATCTGGAAAACTGAGAATAATGATGTATAAAAAAGTCTGTGTGTTATATATAAAAAGTATTAAATATATGTACAGATGTATAAAAAATTAGCCCTAATTTTATCATGCCTGTGAGAAGAGGCTCTTGGGTAAAACTTGATTTTAGGACATATATATTTTGATAATGTACATACTTTGATGTGTTACTTGAATGCAGCCATTCAGATCTTTCAAGATTTAAGAGTTATAAATAATATAATAAGTTAACGTGATGCAATTTTTGGACCATTTAAATTAGTTTATACATCATTAAATTTTAACACTATATAAAGGGCCGCTCAAATTAAGCCAAATAAGAAAAAAACAGAGATATAAGAACACAAGGGAGATAAACAGACATCAGTTCTCTCTGTGTAGTGCTGATGGAAGCTAACTACTGAGGTATGTTGTTAAGAAAATAGATCTTTTGCTGTGAATCGTGGTCATTATTTATATGAGGGGCTCAATAAAGATTTTAGGGGGATCCTGCACCATGGGCCCTAGTACGATTGCTCTCTGTGATCCCCCTCACCTCACTCTGTGTAGCTGTCCATTACACAGAAAACATTTTAGGTAAGATGAAATAACTGAACTGATAAATTATAACCACTTTGAAATCTGTCCTGAACGAATTACTGTGATCTGTGTATATTAGAAAAGTAGAAATGCAGTAGGCCCAGTAGAGGGCATCATAGGACCATAAAATGAGCCCTGGCTTACTGTCTGGTTCAACGTGTAGCAAGAAAGCAATAAAGACACCCGTCTGTCTCATCATCTCCCCATTAAAGTCCTGTGTTGTGATTTCTTTTAGACTTGACTTGAATCTCTAGACTAGTGTCTCAAGCACCACTGCAGGCAATAGAACCGTCATCTCTGGTGCGTGACGGAACTTTGGTTCCTTTCTCATCTACACACCAACACTGGCCACGCTGCATTCCCCGCGATGACCAACACTGTGGGGAAAAAGAGAACATTCACTCAGATTTACATCCAGGGCATTACATGGCATTGCTGTCAACAAAACCTCATAACTATAAAATGGCAACTGTACAGGAAAAGGGAAAAAATATTAATAATGTGCATAAAGCACTTAAATCCAGGCTTCAGTTCTTTACTGCAGAGCATCTGTTGCTGTAATTAGTCCTGTTACAATTATTACATATTTGTCTGATTGAAGTTATTTGAGCTGATTGTAATGATCTAAAGGGCCCATATCCTATGTTTGTTTTTGTATTTTTTTTTTGTGTGGGTTTATGTACCAAGAACAGCCATAAGTCATTTGTACATGAGCATTCTCCAACCAGGCTTTACTTCATTAAGGCTGTTTTATTACGGTTGCCTTTAAATACAGTCAAATTGAGGTTGATCGAATGAATTTATTATTGATTTTCTAAGTGAAAAAAAGTTAACACGTCATCTTCAGAGAAACATGTGTGATTCCCCCTTTTGACAAATCACTGTGAACTTACATATGAAGTTTCACAGCGTACTGTTCACTCCCCAGTGTATACAGTCCATATACGGGAACTAAACTACTAAAAACAGCCTGTTTTTGAATTAACTGTTTTTGTGATGTCACAAAAAACACATTTACATTTAAATTCAGCCTTAACTGCTTTTGGAATGAGGTACAGTACAGGGCAGCCAATCAGAACAAAGCTCATTTAGCCCTCGCCAAATAATGTTTTGTTGATTTTCTGAATGAAAATAAATGATTTTCCTGAAAATGTATTTATTATTTTAGATGCTAACTTATTTTCACAAAACATGTCAAACTACGTATACAGGTGCATACAGTTTGCTGACATTGCCATTAAAGGGGTACGCCACTGATTTTTAAAAAATTCTACATAATGAAAGCTACACTATGTAAGTTTGTGCGTTTCTGAGCCCTCTCTGGTGGAGATGCGTAATTGCACGTGGTATGCGGAAGAAAAGTTTATAACATGGGTTGTGCTTTGTTGACTTTTGAGCGTGATGAAAGAGAATTCAATGACAGTTTGGTGATAGAGTGTGTTCTCTGTAGAGGATGTGTTAGCTCATTTTCAAAAAAAAGAAAAATAAAACATGTAATTTGATGTGTTATGAAGTGTGAAATGCTCTGATGCCAAGTATCTGCTGTGACTGCTGGTTAGATTGGCAGTCTCTGAATCAACTGACCTGTTTCCTCCTGAAGAAGCCTTTTTTGTCACAGTTGGGGATGTAGATGTCTTGGTCTCGCTGGATCGCTGTGAGGTCAATTCCTTGGAGGACAGAGTTCAGCAGTTTGCGGCAGGGGCCCTACAGAAAGAGGCAGCACAGTGATTGCTGTGTAGTGCTGTGCATGTATTTGCATTTTAATTCTCATACAAACCCACTGTGAATAAGGGAAATGCAACATTAGGCTGCTCTGTGGCTCATGCACTACACCTAATCCTGGGCTAATTCATTGCTGCAACTATTCAAACACTGTGAGGTAAGAATTATTACCTTTTCACTGTTGTCACTGATCGACGGCCAAGACTCTGAAAACAGAACAGAAATATGGTTCATTCTGGAAAAAGCTCCGATGCTGAAAGCAGAAAGGCTACAGAAAAAGTGGGAGAAATGAGTTAAGAGGAGGTTTGACTATTCAGATGGCTATGGATGGTGTCGTAATACTTTGATACAGTCTTATGCAAAAGTTTGGGCACCCCTGGTTAAATTCCATGTCATCTTGATTTAAATGAAGATAAGTGAACACGTCCTCTATAGAGAACACACATTTTAATGCACGCTTACTGTTAAATCGCTGACTTTAAACAGGACACATTTTGGATATGACTAGTTTTCATTACTAAATATCACCAAGGGTGTTCAAAGTAAACTTTGAGAAGGTTTAAGCAGGTGAGAAATTTTGATTTGAAAAAAAAAGTTTTCTAATGTAGGCAGAAAGTGTTTATTTTCTCAGAAAAAACACATATTATAATATATGATGAGTTTCATTCCAAAAGGCTGGACCAATTTTGGATTTAACAAGTTTTTGAAAAGAAGAACAGTTAATGTATACAGAAAAACACATTTTAATTCCTCTAATAAATGGAGTATTATTAAAAAAAAATAAATATATATATATATATATATATATATATATATATATATATATATATATATATATAACCTTTTTAATGTAGTAAAATTTAGTTTTTATTATATTTTCACGTTATATGAGCTACGATATGTATGAAAATTGTTCTATAAATGAAGTTACTATTGCTAATATTATTGCTATTACATTATAATATACATATATGTGATCTTTACTGAGTATTACATGTTATATTTTCCATTCTTTGATGCAGAAATATATGACTTCATCTCGTGAACCATCTCATAATCTTTTTCAGCCAACAAAATTTATTAAAAAAACTAAATGCATAAGAAAGTTACAGAGTAAATACAGATAATTAGGAAGGCTAATTGAACAGTTTGTACCAAAACTCTTTCAATTCAATAACAAATGACACCAGGTTCTTATTCATTTTGTACAGAATATCACTTAGTCATTAGCTTTAACTCTTCTCAGGAGTTTGACCCCAGGGAGACTGTGCTAGTTGGCACTTGTTGAGGTTAGCAGTCTTACCTGTGGGTCGGACGGTCTCAATGCTGGTCTTGATGCTCCTGCAGGCCCCTCTTCCCTGGAGCAGTGCCTGAAGGGGGCTTTGGTCTCCTTCTGGAGGCATGCAGCGAAGACCCCTTCCGCACGCTAGTGTGTAAACCCCACAGGGTTCTCCTAGTGCTAGCACGGTTGTGCTCTCCTCCCTGGACTGAGGAGCAGCTACATGGCCCTTCCCGATGGAACCAGGGCAGGATGGGCAGATCTTCCTGAGTCCAACTTGAGGATCGAGGGAGTAGCAACCATACAGGTGAAGCTGTATGGTGAGCAGAAATGTGAGCATGTCCTGAAGAGAAGGCATGTCTGTCCTGTTGCAAGCACCTGAGACGTGGGCAAGCACTTGTCCTTCTTTGCTTTTCAGTCCAGGAGCCTTAAGAACCTCTGAGTGGAGAGCACCGTACGATGGTGATGTGAAGATAGTGAATGAGTAGCTGCTGTGGAAGCCTGCAGCCTCAACAGCTTTTAAAGACCTGAGATGTTGAGGTAGGAGGGAATTAGATGAGAGGTGGCATGCTGAGATATAGAGGTGGAGTTACACAATTGAAGGCAATCAAATATGAAGTTCCCTCCCATTTTTGCATCACCTCCACACACACTCCTCTCTGCTCTGAATTTATGGCAGTTTTATACAGTTATTGTTTTACCCCTGTTTGTATTGGTAGTGTTTGCTGGGAGAGGAGTTGAAGTCATCTGCTCTTTGGGTGTGTTAAATCTTTGATTTACAGTCGATTGTCTCGAGATTGCACAGCGTTCGACCAAACCTGCACTTTGTACGTAATTAGAAGCAATCGCACACGTACATTACTGGTCAAAAGTTTGGACACACCTCCTCAGAGGAGAGTTTGCTCACTTTTACTGTTTTGCAGCCAGGAGATCAAAACAATGAAGAAACACACGAGGACAAAAACAATGTTGAAAAAAAAATCTGGATTCATTCAGAAATTAGCCTAAGACTGAGTTGCATTAGTAAATGTTCTCTCAAGCAGCTTCAAAAGGAAGGATCTGAGATGCTTTTCTAACCAGACTGATGAAGATACACATATGCAGAGACCTTGTTTTTACAGGGAAAAAAATCTAAAACATTCCATTTTGCCACTACTAAAACAATCACTGGCTATAGTTTCTGAGTTTTGCTCAAATTAGCCACAATTGTCATTTTAGCTCATTTATGAGTCAAAACTCATAAACACAGCCAGTACACGGCCAGCAAACACAGCTTTGAACAGTTGAACACATATGAAATCATCATATTGTTCATTAAAATGCAAAAAAATTGCTTAATTACAGAAAATTTGTGTTTCGATAGTGACAATTCTTAATGTTCCTCACTGATTTGCAGACTTTGAGACACATTTACTTCAAAAAAGTGGGATCTAACTGCTCACCATGTGGCCACGAGGGACAGGGATGCAGCCTCACTTCCTGCTCTGCAATGTTGGGAGTGAGATTTACACACACAAGAAATATCAAAGCTGTATTATGATTCATCTCATCTTCATTAGAGAAATATAAATCTGTTTTCCATTATATACTAGCTATTTTTCTTTTTCATTTCTTTTTTTTTCCATTTCTTTGTTTGATGTGTCTGTCTCCTTTTCTCATTGAGGCTTCTTGACAGCTACACATCCTTTCAGACCCATAGTGCTGAGTTGTCTTCTCACAGTGGAAGGATGGACAGAAACACCTGTGGATGTTTTCAGATCTGAAGCAGCTTGATTTTCTCCTCTCTCTCAAAGATGAAAGCTTTAAGTTCTGTTTATCTGATGGGACAGTTTTGGTGTCTACCAGGTCTTCCAGGTGGTTGTTAGGAGTCACATTTTCTCAGTAGCTTTTAATAAGTTTCTGAACTTCTCCTTCCTTTTGCATATCTCCTGAAAAATGAATAGTTTGTATTTGATGGCTGTGTTGACTGGAAGTTAAATAAATGAAGGATGTTTGGTCGCCTTACCAACGGCACACAGCCAACTCTCTTTCATTAAGAATGGCCTTCAGAGCCACATGCTAAAGCAAATTTGTGCCATTTCAGTTTTCCCATTCTTACTTTTTCCTCTGTAATTAAAGTCAGATTGTGCAACAACAGGCTGTGAATAACTAATACTACCCTGTGACCCTGCGTGCTGTCATGTGCATAAAATGCGTTGGAATGAACAGTCATCCATTACAGCTATGACACGTGCTTCTACAATGTGTTGGAAAGGCACTTATCAATGGCTGTTTGTGTCTGAAGTTGTCATGGTAGAGCCTCGTTTATTAGATCCACAAGTAAGTCAGAGTGTGTCATTTTCTGGAGAAACTGATTTGGCATGACACGACATGTTTTATGCCCTCACAGCAACTGTACCGGAAGTAGCACCTAATTGTTACACAGCATCTTGGTATGATACAGTAATGCAGGATGTTGGGAGAGAGAGCTGAAGATATGCGTAATGCACTGTAAGTCCACAGATTTTCCAGAATTTCTGCATAATTCAGTTGCTGAGACGTAAACAAAGTCATTCAAACTTACCGACTCAGATTTCCTTACAGTGGTTCTGTTGGGAACCGGGGTCTCAATGTCTACAACACAAACATAGCCATTTTATTTATTATCGAAAACCACCAGGGAACCTAAACTTGTCTTCTGAGTTTTATATGCAAAGTTGATGATGGTAGAGTAGTCATAAATCTGAAAAAAAACTGTTCCAAAATGCTGTATACTCATTTTCTGTGATCATTTTGGATATTTTAGTTTTGAATAGAATAAAGGCAGACGTATAATCTCTAATAAAGCTGATCTTAATCATAATATAGCTTTGATTTCACTTGAATGTGTAAAGCCCCCCCCCAACAAAATTGTCTTCACCTTTTTTTGGGGACTACTTCGCCCCACAACGTCCTGAATGTACACTTTCGCCATGAATCAATGTTTTAAAAAAAGACATTTTTGGCCAAAATCCTCTCAAAACTGTTGTAAAACAATCCTCTACTGAGACACACTTCTGCACATTTTAGTGCACACTTACTGTTTAGAAGAAGGGTCTGGGTTTGATTCCCCAGCCAGGCAACCAGGGTTCTTCTGTGTGGAGTTTACATGTTCTCGCCATGTTTGTGGATTTCAGTAGGTGCTCAATTGCCCATAGGTGTGGATGTGTATGTCTGTGTGTGTCATGTGATGGACTAGCGGCCTGTCCATCACATGCAAATAGCAACTGTACACTAAAATGTGAAATCAGAATGTTATACTTAAGTTCACTGTATGTGGATGATGTGTTCATTTATTTTCACTTAGAAATTCAACAAAACACGTAATTTGACTGTGGTGTCTATAGGTGCACATTAATAAAAATTCCTTTTTATTTTGTTCATATGTAACTTATTCTCATCTTGTGCTGCCGTTCAATGTAAATATCTTCAGCAGTTTTGTGGGTTGTGGATAATTGTTTATTGAAAGGCTGCATGAGCCAAAATAAGCTAATTTACCATCATTCTCACACGTTCATAAGCACAGCACGTTGGAAAAGTTTCCAACTGATCCACCCCAGCAACGAGGTTCTGTTTTCAGAGGCGGTGCATTAATCTTATTCCACCCACCCACCCTGTCTACGTCCCGCTTCCAAACGCTCCTCTTTACGTTGGCACGGCCTCCCTCCATTTCTACACTGGTGCAATAAACCATAAATATAAGCCTTTCTGAAAACATTTTGAATTATTTACAATTATTGGCCTCTGGCAAAACTACCCGCACCATCTCTGGATGTTACATTTACTTCCTCTCTTCCTTTTTTCCCCTTGTGATGTGTCTTGTGAACGCCTTGTTATTAAATGACGCAACTAGATTTCCCTGAGGGGACAGTGCAGACATACAATAATGTATCTTTATGCACGTCGAAGATTTGGGAAGTATATCTGGGCCGTCAGGTTTCTGTCTTCTTCTTTTGGCCTGTGAGATAAAAAGGGCTTCATGTTGGCTGGACTAAGACATTTCCTTCCAGATGTTGGTTAAAATGTCTATGGACAGTCGCACCCAAGTGATGATTAACAATGTGCTGTAGCTTTGGATCAGCATATTTGGCTGGATCCTGCCTACCCACTTAAGTATAAATAGCCTCGATCAAAAGAGTATTAACTTTGGACTGATCTACACTAATATATCATGTGCCAAATGACTGTAAAACATCTGAAAAGCTCTACAGTACAAGATTACAGTCTAAAGTTTCAAGGCCTGAGTAACTGGATCACAAATTTGAGCTGAAGAGGTTTTTATTTATTTAGTTTTTGGCTATTGATATCTAATCATAGGGGGCTGCAGAAGTATGGAGTTAATTTTCTGTGAAAAATAATCATACATGAACTCAGATCAATCAGATTTGTGAATCTACAAGGGTGATTGTGAATTTAGTGTGCACAGTCTTTGTAATACAACTGCAAATTCTAATTACGTCTTTATAATATTAAAGTTGCAATTTAAAAAATCACAATTAACGTGTAACTGATGATGCACGACAATGAAAATTGTTGGCCAAAGCCAAAATTTAGGACATACACACACACAAAATACTTAAAATACATAATATAAACACTCTAAAATTACTACAGTATGTTGGCTACACACTACACAAATGCTGATTCTTTAAGGGCTCTTTAGTAAAGAAAACGTTTCTATATTGAATGATGAACACAAGCCTACCCAATCAAATGGGGAAACAAAATTCAGATAAGATAATGAAACTTGATTTGTTTCTGTGAGTGCTGGCCAATAAAATCATTGCATTCTCTGCCCAAACTGTTTTCTTTTCTCAGCCCTCCAATCACTGCTTAGCAACCGTTGCTATTCCCCATTGCCTCAAGCATTCAGTTCATTATCAGTGTGCCAGTGTTTGAATTTAAAGCTCAAGTTGCACTTAAAAGATGTACCTGTAGGACGTATAAAAGTAAAATTTCCATGCCTGATAGAGTAGAGTATGTTGTTTTCTACCCATCCAAAGCCAAAAACAATTTTAAAAAATGCTGTCGACATCAGTTTTGTGTGAATTTGGTACTTACAGTCCTTTTTTAATGCAAAAGTGGACATTGTCTTTGGGGAAATGTCAAAGCAAACTTCTAACATTACTTTAGTGCAACATTACTGAGTCACAGGTAAGACATGAATGGACCATAAACATTTTTCATGCCCGCCTAATCATTAGGCTAAAGTATTCTTTAGCCTAATGATTAGGTTTAGTTTTTTTTTTTAAGTTTGCACATATTAGCTGCCCATTTTGCCTCAGTCATGTCTTCTATGAGTCTGACATGCCAGTGTGCTTTAGTCTAGCATGATTAGAATTATGTTTTAAGGTTTACTGTGAACTCGTTTTAAGGTTTACTGAACTCAGTTATGTTGTCTTCACTGAGCAAGCGTGCACTTTATAGTGTAGGCAGGGTTTTTCAACCTATGGGCCGCAGACCACCAGTGGGCTGTGAAGCACCCTCTAGTGGTCTGCAGGCCTGTGCTCAGGGGAGGCAGTAGTTCATAGTGTGCTAGTAGTGTCACTGTA